TTAAACTCAATTTTTTTTTTCAGCTTTTAATTTTTAAATTACTCTGTCAAGAAACATATAAATCTGGCAATCCAATCCCTCAATTACAAATTGTTGAAAATGAAAACATTTTACATTTGTGCTTGAGAATTAAGATAAAAAAAATAATAAAAAAGAAAATAAATCTTCATAACAATTAAACATTTAACTTAACTTTTAAAAAATCTAAAATCAACTACTAAGGGCCTGTTCATATATACTTATTTTCAGTTCAGTTCAGTTCAATTCAGCTCTAATCAGTTCAGTTCAGTTCAGTTCAGCTCCAATCAGTTTAGTTCAGTTCAGCTCTTAATTTCCCTCTCTCATAAAATATTCATTTCAGCTTAGTTCAGTTCATTCAATTCAGTTCAGCTTCAATCAGTTCAGTTCAGTTCAGTTCAATTCAGCTCTTAATTTCCCTCTCTCATAAAATATTCATTTCAGCTTAGTTCAGTTCATTCAGTTCAGTTAAGCTCCAATCAATTCAGTTCAGTTCAGTTCAGCTCCAATCAGTTCAGTTTAGTTCAATTCAGTTCAGCTCAATTCAGTAAATATGAACAAGCCCTAAAAGTCTTAAATTCTATAAAAATGAAAAATAAGAACAAAAAAAAATTATAATTACACATATAATTACTAGATTTTGCGTACCTCTTGAGCAATCCACAAGAAATACAAGAGGTTAATTAATCTTAATCTTTTACCTTTCTAGATCAAATTGTTGACTGATATTATTGATTTTGCCGAAATATAGTCATTTGATGGGAAAATGTTAGTTGCTAATAATTTTACGGTGATTAATTTGGGCAGAAAATTAATTACCCCCTTTGTGATTTAATAAGTGTTAGACTTTGACCGGCACATGATTTTTGGCAATTTAAGAGACTTAAATAAAATAAGAGGTAGGTGGGGTTGATGGAGTATTAAAAAATTATAAAAGAAAATAAAATGAATGTGAGAAGAAGAAAATTATAAATAAGTAGTTGTGGATTTGAGTGGGGTCATGAGAGGAGAGGGATATAATATTAAATTGAGTTTTTTGCCAAAAAAAAAAAAAACAAAAGGAAATGTATCACTTATTAAAACACGGCCAAATTTGATAAGTGTAACACTTATTAAAATACGGAGGGAGTATTAAACATTTCTCAAATCGTTTGATAGAGTGATTAAATGAGAAGGGCGAGAGTCTTAAAAGGTTTTATGAAGTTTCTGGGTATAAGATGATAATCCACGTAAAATTAGAAATAAATGAAATTTTGAAGTTTTAACAACTTTATGGGAATTGCAATGCATTTATGGGGGTAATTAAGTTCTAGAAATCTAGTATAATTTTGTATATTTAGTTATGATATGTGTGAATACAAGAACTGAGAAATTTTTTTTATTATTATTTTTTTTTTACAATTGGACTTCAAAAATATTGGGCCCTCAATATTACTGGGCTCTATGCTAAGGTCTATTTGCACAGGCCCTTAGCCGGCCCTGAGCAGCAGATTTATAAAGGAGACCCATAAACAATGGAGAATAATTCCTAATTTCTACTCAATTATTAATCGTGACATTACTATCTAAGAAAATAGGTTGATAATAATATATGGTTAAGTTGGGGATGAATGGGTTAAATGGTTAATTATGATTAAAAATCTATTAATTATTACTAAAACAGAAGATGATGATATCATCACTGCCCACGTATCATTCTCTTATTACAAATTTTCTACCTAAATGCAATGATGATGTCATCTTTTTTTTGGGTAGAGTTATCCTAACTAAAGTTTTTTTTTTTTTTTTTTTTTTTTTTTTTTTTTTTTTTTTTTTTTTTGGTGTTTAGAGAGCCACAAGGGCAGGGGTGAGAATCGATCTCATGATCTCTTGGAATCGGGAAGGGAGCTCTAACCACTTGAGCTATTCTTCACTCTCCCTATTTAACGTTTTTGAAATTTAAATATTATAAGCTTTTATCTTACACTAAAACCTATCAATTTATTATAGGAAATTTAAATAATTTTTAATAACATACTAATAAACGATCTCCTATATTGAACTATAAATTAGACGACGTTGAACAAATACTATATCATAGTTTTGATGAAAATAAAAGTTTTTAAATTACAAAATGTACATAATTCTTATTTATATTTATGTATAATAACGATTTATTATTAAAATATACAAATTAAAAATAGATTTTATATAAATCGTGCATCGCACAGGTTCTAACCTAGTAGATTATTAACTATGTTTACTTTTGCCACAAAATATTCATTTACATTGTCCTTCATCTCTCACTCACGAAATTGATACTTAATGTCACGACTCAAACTCAACTTCTCATCAGCCATCATAAAAAGGTTTTTTTTTTTTTTTTTTTTTTTTTTTTAAGTTTTACAAAGATCATAATGTAATTTTTTTAGACTTTTACTCGATTTACCCTTTAGGCTAATCCCAATTTAGGGATCAATTTTGATTGGTTAAGTTCAAGTTCCCTCCCGATTATTATTGCGGGGTTCGAACAGAACCAACATTCAATTGGTAAAATTATCATAATGTATGGTAGTATGCAAAGTGTTTAATTTGTCATTTTAGTCCTTATATAATTTTTACGGCTTCAAATCACAAAAAAGATCATAATGTATGGTAGTATTTTTGTGATTGTTTTACTACGTAACTAGTTCACTCTTATATATAACTATATAAGAGGCAATCAAAGATTCAAAGGTTGTAACTTTTTCAAAGTTTTGGCCAATTTACAGATTAGGTGGGTATATTGTTAGATTACTAGATAAGTCCCGTGCAATGCACAACATAAAAAAATTTATTGAAATAAATATATATTTTATATATGTCCCTCATATGAAATAAATTATAAAAGTATAACCATTAATTGCCATTTGTAATGATATTTAGATCTTATTAATTTTGAAGAAGAGTAAATACTAAAGCAAATTATGTATTACGGAGTACTCTTTAACCGAGAGTAATTATATTTTTAAGTCAGATAGTCACTTATAAATTCATAATATAAAATATGGAGTATAATAATAATAATAATAATAATAATAACAATAATAATAGTCTTAAAAAAAATATTGTAATAATTTAAGGTAAAAAAATAAATAAAATATGACGCCATCAATTGATTTAGGCGGTAAAATTTTTAACAACAGCTTGACACGTGCACAATTTTAAAAAGTGATAATGTCAGCGAATGTTATTTTAGTATATTTATATACTTCCTCCGTTCTGTTAATATTGCAACAAGGAGAAAATTACGCATCCCAAAACACATTTTATATGCTAAATATCTATTATTGTGTAAGAGTAAAAAATATAAAAACTTGATATTGTGAAAGTATTTTATAAGACAAATCCAACAATATCCCACTTCACTATATTTTGCTTAATGTATAACTCATATTATATGGTCAAACAAGAGTGATGAATAGTGCAAAAAGTCCATTGTTACAGTATTAATAGAACGAAGGAAGTATATAGGTTGTAAATAAGAAGTTTGTGTCCTACATGTGCCTTTCCGATATCAGATCGCAGACATCTTTACTAAGGGTCTACCTAAGATTTTATTTGATGATTTTCGGGAGGTCTCAACGTTCGCAGTCCGATCCTCCCGTTTTAACTGCGAGGGTGTGTTAGATTATTGTAAATAATCTAGTGTATATTATTAGTTGTAAATTACTAATATATCCTTTGCCCTAACCCTAGTATAATCTTGTATATATACTAATATTTAATTAATGAGAAAGACACGACAAATATTCTCTCATTTATTTCGTGTTAGTTTTGCTCAATTTGTCAAAATAGACTACCCAATTGGTGGGAAATTGGGAATTGATGAATTTTATCCGGGATTTTGATAATTCATTGACCCAATGGATGGACTTACAACATCGTTGTATTTTTTAATGTACCCAATAAAGAAATTATGAAAAATGAAGGATATCAAATGTACCATGGTTGAATAATTATTTGGAGTTAAATGCGATGAATCGATGGTGTTGGATGATGACAAAGTTTTGGTCTTCTTTAACTTTTAGTTTTAGTTCTCGGTCTTCTGCAACAAAAATTCTAGTTTTGGGTATGATAGGATAATAATGATTGTGCATGTAAAATTACATTTTCTAGAATAGAAGAATTATCTTTTACAAAGAATTAGCTTAACTATGCTCCTAGTTAATCCAGGTTAGGAGATTTTAACTGAAAATCCTCATTTAACATGCATCTAAGATCTAACCTTTTTTTTTTGAACGGTTTATTATTATTATTATTATTTTTACTTAGTAATGTCATGTTTAATAGGGAGTAATTGATTAGAATTTAGTGGTTATTTTTGATACTTTGAAAATTTTGGAATCACAGTTGAAAAACTAAAAAAAAGTAGGAGATTATCATTGAAATTTTCCAAAATTTATTTTATTTTTATGAATAAAATATTTTTGTAAAGTTTTTTTTAACCCTTTTGCTAAATAAAATTGTTAACCTATTTTTATTCTTAGGTTTATCATGTTTTAAATTAGAATAATAATAGATTCCTATTTTTTTATAGAATTTTTTTTATTAAAAAAAACAAAAAAAGAATTCTATTTTTACGTAAGATAGAATTTTTTTTCTAAGGTTTATCATGTTTAACAAAAAAAAGAATTCTACTTCTACATAAAGTCGAACTTTCTATATTATTTTAGCTCTATAATCTATAAAAGTACTCAAAAAAGTACGAGTAATAACCTAATCAAATACTTCCGTATATTTTCAACTCTCTAAGCTTAATAACTCTCTTTGCTAAAAAAAAAAAAAAAAAAAAAAAAAAACTCCTTTCAACCCTGGTAATTATGAATCCGTCAACGGAACTCCTTAAAGGCAAAATAACTGAAAAAAAAAAACCTCTCTCCTCCTTTCTCTCTCAAAAACCCTAGCCTCCAGTTGAAATTTGAAGGGGCTTCCATCGATTTTAATCGGTGGAAAGCCCCAATCCTGGTTTCTTTATTGTTTTTTTAGGTTTATAATAATACTTCCTCCTTTTGGAAGGAATTTTTCTCCCTCGAAAAAAAGGGTTTCCGATCTCTTTTGAAATACAAGGGTTTTTGACCTTTTTCGAAAGACAAGTTTTATCTCCTCTTTTCGAGGGAGAAATTGCTTAGTTTTGAATCCATGGTAGCAAATCTACTTAATTGTCGTGAAATTATTTTGTTGGTGAAAAAGTTATCAAGTTTTCGAATACAAACAGATGAATTAGAAGGAAAACATCCTCACGGCTACAAAGGATCATTAGATTGTCTCTCCAACAAGGCTGTAATTTTCAGCGATATAAGCGGGAGATGCTCCGCAGTGCAAGATCTATTCGACGATCGTAGTTTTTATTTTTATGAAGGAATATTCTATTTGATTCAATATCTTATGTATTTGTTAACGTCGAATATTTATTGTAGATGTCGTATGACTTTTAATTAATGAAATATTTTTGCTTTTCAAAAAAGAAAATTATGAATCCGTCAGGTTATAATAGTGAAGGTGTTGATCATTATGATGATAATAATGATGAAGAAAATCATGACGATTATTTGAATGATGAAGAAAATCATGGTGACAATATGGAAGGCGTTGATCATTATAGCATCAACGATAATAATGATGACGAACAACTTGGTGATTATAGTGAAGGTGATGATGTCGTTAGCGAAGAGGGGGAGAGGACTAATAGTGGATGGGAAGCCGCAGCAGGTTTCAATAAATGGTATAACGTCTATCCGTTTTCTTTTATAGAGAAAACAAATTTGGAGGTTGGAAACAAGATTATTATGCCAGAATCTGCTTTAAGAGAATTGATGGATGAAGGAGTAGGATTTCCGATGCTTTTCAAGATTGAAAATCAAAGCAAGGAGAAAATCTCTCATTGTGGAGTCTTAGAGTTTACTGGTGAAGAGGGAGCGGTGTTTATGCCCGAGTGGATGATGAAAAACATGGCTCTAGAAGATGGAGATATGATACATCTCAAGAATGTGGATCTTGATAAGGCTACTTTTGTGAAGTTGCAGCCTCATAGTGTGGATTTTTTGGATATTCGAATCCCTAAATATGTTCTTGAGAACGCGTTTTGTTCTGGATATGCTTGTTTGACTGTAGGAGATACTATTGTTATTAAGCATCAGGGGAAGACGTTGTATGTTGATATTGTTGAAGCTATGCCATCAAACGCGGTTTGTGTGATTGAAACTGATGTAGAGGTTGATTTTGCACGTCCTTTGGACTATAAAGAGCCTCCAAAACCGGTTCCCAAACCTCTTCCTAAGCCAGAGAAAGATGTTAAGGAACCATTAGGTTTTGTTCCGTTTAGTGGCAGAGGAAGCAGGTTGAATGACAGTAATAACACGACAAAGGAAGATTTAGCTGCTGCTGTGATATCAAATACATCGACTAAGGTGAGTTCGGAAACTTCAAACACAGGGCAGTCAGTGAAACCCTTCACCGGTAAAAAATACAGCTTGAAGGATTAATAATTTAATTTGGGCTTATCAGTTCGTACTAGACAAATTTTATGTGTGACCTATAGTTTTTAATAAATATTCTATCATCTATTTTTATTGTTTAGAAATTAACATTGTTATCTTCTATCTTTATTTTTAAATTGAAGCATCTTTTCAATATATGTTTCCAATAATCAGAGATGTTATAAGATTGGCAGAATTTAACTTTTGGATATATTAACCTTAGCATGCTTGATTCAGTTTCTTGAATATGATCAATAATTCTGCTATTATGATAGTTCTTTGATAAGTGAACCATGACTTAGAGTGAGCTAAATAGAAATTGAAAAAACATCAGAATGATATAAATTAGAAGTATTATTTTTTTGCTATAGCCTTTAATATTGGATACAATTGCTTGGATTATGAACCTAATTGTCATATCTTTCCCTGTATGTTCTTGGTATATATGCAAATAGTCGAATACTGTAATAAGATACTTTGAGGTACGGTGTTTCTGTTCTGAATTCTGTGTAATCAGCAAATAAGACGCTTTCCTATGAGATAAGTTATCATATAACCATCTCTAGGCTTCATTAAAAAAGGAAACAGTGGGAAAAAAAGAGAAAACTGAAAGCATTGTAGAGTTGAGAAATAACAGGATCTTATGCTGCACAGAACACAAAACTAAAACATTTAAAGTAGATAAAGGGTGTTTTAACCGGCTGTGTGACTCATTTATTCACAAATCAAGAGAATGCGCGCGTGCCCTTTGAAATTTGATAAATATTTTATCTTACACAAAAGATTTGACTAGGAGAAATTATCTGCCTAAATGAACAAGACTTGATGATGCCCCCCACAAAAACGTGTAAATGGCAATGAAGAAATACTGATTCTTAATACTCAGTGATTCTGAACCGAACTGTTTTCTGCATCAAATGTCTAAATGAAGAAATAATAAACGTAAGAGTTACACAAAAGGAGCACAAAAAAAGAAAAAATCATGGGCATAGTGAAATATCTTGGTATCTCATTGTAGTAATCATGCTTGTGCATCGGCGACTGCTGGTTTATTTGCATTCAGAAGAGGCTGCAGAGCCTTAACCACAATCGTCATGTTGGGTCTAAAGTCAGCTTCGTACTGAACGCATAAGGCTGCTACTGCTGCCATCTGATCAATACCAAAGAGCCAACATTATATACACATAAATGGAATATATACTTAAACTACTATCAGAAAATGAAATTAAACAGGTGCAAACAAGAAAGGTTTGATGAACTCTGAGATAAATTCATATCCAGGTGATATTTGCATTAAAATTTAAATGCAAAAGGAGAACATTAATACTTTGTACAAGTTAATTTCTAACCTTAGCTACTGCTTTTGGTGGGTAATTGTCATTAAGCTTGGGGTCAACACATTGTTTCACTTTGTCCTCACTCAACCGAGGAGTTGCCTGTGACAAGGAATTTATTCAGTAAAAATGGTAACACGAAAGTGATAAAAATGATATTTATGCCACAATGATAACAGGAAACACACCCAAGTGACAAGACTTTGTTGCCCTTTTGGCATAGTATGATCTACCGGCTTTCTTCCAGTCAAAAGCTCAAGAAGAACAACACCAAAACTGTAAACATCACTTTTCTGAGTTATTTGCCCCGTCATTGCATACCTGTTTATCAAAACAAACAAGAAAGGTTCAACTCCTCCAAGCACCAGTGAGCTTAAAAAATTGTCTATCAAAGGCTTTTTCTATCAATTTAGAACCAATTAATTTTATAATAGTTATCATTATTAGGAGCTTTGTTTAGTAATACTTATTTCTCCATCAATCTTTGACATAACTTATCAAGATCTTAGTTCCTAGAAAGGAGTCCAATTCTAGTGATCTTCATTGCACCTAAAATAAAAACTATATTACTGCCGATTAACTGATGAATAAAATGATTGGAATAAGCCATAATATATACAGAATATTCTAGATACTTCAATATGGATTTCATAGGAAAAGAGGAGCATACTCAGGAGCATGGTAACCAAATGTTCCCAGGACTCTAGTTGAGTGCAAACGAGCTGCTGTCTCTGAAGAAGCACTTGTCAGGTTGAAGTCAGCTATTTTTGACAAGAAGTCATCAAACAACAGGACATTGCTAGATCTAACATCTCGGTGAACAATAGAAGGCTGCACCTTCTCATGCAGGTACTCTAGACCTTTTGCAGCTCCAAAGGCAATTTTTACTCTTTGTGCCCATGTTAGTGCAGGCCCTGGTGCTGCACCTTGTACTCCTTTCCTTCCTGTACAGGACATCACGGATAATTTGATAACAAAAATTGCAAACTATTCTGCTGTCAATTAAAAAGATGAGTAAGATGATCGGATTAAGAGATGGAATACCATGTAATACATCATGTAAAGAGCCCATTGTTGCGTACTGATAGACCAATATTCTGTTATTTTGTTCCAAACAATAACCCATAAGCTCCGTAAAATGCTCATGCTTTAGTCTTGAAACAATCGACAACTGCAATGAGCCACCACTTATCAGAAAACGGGAACAAAATTCCTACAAATATAAAACCGTACTATGTAGAAAAATGTAAGATACCTGAGCTGCAAAGTCAGAATCTGAATCCTGTGCAGAACTCGTGTCCAATTTCTTTATTGCAGCCTCTAGGCCGTTGTTTAACTTTCCATGGAAAACCCTTCCATAAGAACCTTCTCCAACCAGAGTTTTCTGACTGAAGTTGTTGGTAGATTTGTTTAGTTCATCCAATGGCACAGCTGGCAATTCTATTGGCAAAGCTTTTACTGGCGCTCCACTTCTTGTTCCATTACCAGTTTTCGGCTCTCCTCTATCCCCACCTATGAAATGAAAGTTCCATATCAAACAAGCTAACTCCTAATTATATAAAATTCAGTATAGTGCTAAGGTTACACAATAATTAACATGATGACAATTTTGTTAATTAATATTCTTATCAGCTTCATTCATAGTTTTGTTAATCAACAATTTGATGTCAATCAAGTCTACCTTAATAGAATGGATGACTTTTGTGGCCCTCGACTCATTTTGATGAATCAAGTAGGAACTAAATGTATAAAGGTATCACTCCCACCTCCCAACCAAGAGTCCAAGAGATCGACTGATGATTTAATTCTCAAATCACACAATCTCATGGTCGGATGCTGTTCTCACCTCCCCACCCACCCACCCTACCTTACAATGTGCCCTCCAAATTCAACCAAAAGAAACCTTTCTACTTTTTGTTTTAATCACTGTTAACTATGCTTTATACCAAATTATTCCATGACTATGTTCTTTGATAATTTCTTGAACCAGCCTTTTATAAGGTTTACAAGTTTAAGTAGAATTTTCATCCAGTGATTTCTTCACAAACAAGCAAAGTCAATACAAAGTGCTCAGTTGCTTATCACATATTGCTACATGAAGGTGTTTATAACACGAGTAATTATCTAGTAAATGACGGCATGTATATAGACATCCTAAGAATAACAAGGTAAAATGAGTAATTACCACCAACAGGATTATTTCCTCTAGGAGGGGCGGTGTAATGAGCCGGAGGGCCTGCGTTTTCCTCTTCTGTGCCTCCACAGCAGAACATTATTCAAGTTGTTGGTGCAGTAGGTTTCTCAACACACAAATGATCTTAGTTGTTAATATTTTTTTTTATTCCAATATTAAACTTTAACCGTAGCCTATATTCAGCAAGTCAAATTCCTGCATCATAAAATTATTCAAGATACAGTTATAATAAATCAATAATATTTCTGCTCAAGGAATGGATTTTTTTTTTAATATAATTAAACCATTCAAAGAATGAAAATTTTGTCAATCCTAAATCTATAGCTCCAAGATGATCTAAAATCTATAATTCACCAATTGCACATAGGTGGAGCTAGGTGCACGCGATGCTAATTTTTGTTGCTCATTTGGATATACATGCAATTCGACAAGAGAAATGATGAGCACCTAATTAGGCGCACTCAAGGCACAACAGGGTAATGATCATGACATAAAGATACAACTAACCACCCAAATAAGTAAATCCGGTATCTAAATACAAATAATTCCTAAATCACAAAGATTTAAGATTATAATAATAAGTCATGAAATCATTGTCAATTTTGATAAATATAAAAATAATTGATAACCCTTTGTAATTTGCTAACAAGAATGTACTAAAATTTACAAAATTACAAAAACAAAAAATCCCATCAACAAACATATCAAAGAGGTTCACATAAACACAACCTTATATGAAATTTGAACCCATAAATACATAAATTTCCTAACATGAAAATAAACCAATAATGATAAAAAAAAAAAAAAAATATAATATCAAGCAGATTGAAATTACCCAATAAATTCGTACGAAAAGATGAAGAATCTTTGTTCCAGAAAATTAATTGATAGATTGATTGCAAGAAATTGAAATGGAGAGGAGAGAGAAAGAAGAGAGAGAAAGGGAAAATGTAATGGGTGTCAACGGTGGAGAAAGGGGTGTTTGATGAGAAAGAATTTGAGTAGTTGGGCGCGAAATTCGGTTGATGTCTCTAACCGCTAAATGCCAATGCATGCTTCCACGCCCCTAGTCCTACCCCCAAATTTTTATCTGAGACGTGCTTCCCAATTTTTGCACGTCCTCCTTACTTTCTCACGGCCGTACTCACACAACTTGTTGACATTTTTTTACTTTTATTTTTTATTTTTTTATTTCATATAATTCAATTTTTATTTAGTTGATTTATTTAATTATGTAAAAATCGTTAAGTTAATGTAACTAATACTCTGTATTATAATTTAATTTTATTTTAATCTAGACCTTTGCTCAGGTTCCGAGTGTTGACCACTGGATTCCACCATTCACGCTATTTTTAGTGTTAACCATCACATGTGACTATTGCAATTAGAATTTAAATAAAAAATAGTTAGGAACCGACAGAGATGAAATTGGACCCAGAGTTAGCTTGGTGGTTCCAAATTCAGGTTGTTTATCGGGGTGAGAGAAGGGAAAGTTGCGGTTTTGGGGGTTAGGGTGGCCAACCGAGTTTGGGGGTTGAGTGGGGTGACCGGTCGGTATCTGGTGGGCCTGGGTTCTTTTTGGGTGCGTTTGGCCACCAGCTAGTTAGCGGTACTTGGGACTGGGTTTCCTTGTATATTTTTATAATTTTTGGATCAATTAAATGTTGACACGTGTTTAGATAACCTGATATAATAGGTTGTTGACTAATTGGGCCTACTACAAGTACGTAAATCCTAACAAATTTTTAAATTTTTTAATGTATATGAAAAAAATACAAAAGTATAAAAACCTTAGAAATGAAATTGACCTTTTACACACAAATTAAAATTTGTTGACTTTTGTTAACTTTAACTCTTTTTAGGGAGATTAGACCAAAGCTTGACTCTATCAGGGGAAGCTTGACTTAATTAAGAGCGACAGACTAGTAAACGCTATAAATTGAATGGACCATCAAGTGGACAAGTCTAGTAAGCATAAAGGATGGTCCGGTTTCAATGGCTATACTTTCTAGGGGTCTGGTTGGGGTTAATAATCAAAGGGAAAGGGAATGAATAGGCCCTATTCCCTTTATTGTTGTTTGTTTGTCACATTTAATCATTCCCTTTATCTATTTTTATTTTTGACTTCACCCAAAATCTCTCTACATTGATTCCCCACCCCCCTTAGACTTTGCCATTCCCTTTCCCTAACCACCATTACACCACCATGCCAACAACAACCACCACCCTTCTACCCTACCCCTACCGCACAGCCACCACCTAGCCACCTTGTCGTCCCTACCCCGCCACTCGTCGACTGCCGATCTACTCGCACCACCCTTGTTCGCACCTCCCTCGTCACACCGCCCTTGTTCGCACCTCCCTCACCCTTTGTCGCATCGCCCTTGTTCACACCTCCCTCACCCCTCATCACACCGCCCTTGTTCACACCTCCCACACCCCTCATCGCACCACCCCTGTTTGCATCTCCTTTCCTAGAAAACCAATGAGCCAATTCGAAAATAAGGGTTTGAGAAGATGGATTTTCTTTTAGATCTGATTTTTTATTCGTTTTTATATCATTAATTTTTTTTTTTTTTAGTTATTTTGGAGTTAATCTATAGATTGTTGTTGTATTTGTTGAATTTAGGGTTTTAAGTAGAAAGGGTTTAGGGTTTATGAGCGGTTTGAGGTTTTCCGGGGAGGGGAGGGGTGGTGGAGGTGCGACGGGCTCCGGGGGGATGCCGACAAGATGGTGGCTGGGCGGTGGGGTAGCTGGAGAAGTGGGAAAGTGAAGGAAAAAGGGGTTGTGGCCTGGGGTGATGTTGGTGGTTGGTGCTATGGTGGTGGTGATTTCCTTTGGGTTTTGTAAACCAAACAACATGCTATATGGAATGGGTTTCATTCCATTCTCTTTTAATCCCTTTGTTCATTCCATTCCATTTACCCTGTGTGAACCAAACGATCCCTTAGAATTGAGGGACATGGTACTTATCTAGTCAGACTTATTTAAAGACATAGAAGGATCCAAGGGGGGGCTTACCCGAGCCTTCCCCCCCCCCCATGGATCAACTTATGTTTAAATACATACTACTGTATTAAGTAACTAAAATATAAGATAGCTTAGTTGGTTATGCATGCTTAGTATGTTGTTGAGTTAATGGGTTCAAATCCCTCATTCCTCATTTTTTTTTTCAATTAATCATTTTTATAAAACTAATTTGACCCCTTTTCCTATTGATTATTTTTTTTTTAATTTAAAAGAAACTAATTTGACCTGCCTTATAATAATCTTCTAGATCTGTCCTTGTTTAAAGAAACTAATATTGGCGCCAAGAAGCTAGAAGGAAACTGTTGGACGGTTAGGAGGGCATTAATGGATCATCTTATCAAAGTTCTCAAGGATCTTGCCTATGAATAGCAAAGATTCACATAAACAAATCATTTCATTTTCTATAAGCTTTCTTTTATGCTTTTCTTGGTTTTTTCTTGGCTTAGATTTCATTAGTTTTGTTATTGCTTATGTTGGTTTGTAAGAGCTTGTTTAGCTCATTTAAGTGTTTTGATGTAGTTTGTATTAGTTTGATTTTGCTGATGTCAAAAAAAAAAAAAAAAAAAAAGATTTCATCAGTTTGTTCTGAAGATTGTTTGATCATTTCAATTGTATGAACATGGAGTTAGTATTCTCCTCTTATGATACAATTGTAGCTCTAAATTTAATGCTTATTTAATGGAAGACATTTGCATTATTCTTAATCTATGTTTGTCTGTTCATTTCTTTGGTTAATTAAACTCTTGCTTAACTTCTTCGAGTAGTGCAATTTTCCTTGTTTATTGTTTTTAGGAAATTTTGACTTTTGCTACCTGTCAAACAGGTCGAATCCACTTTTACTACCCATCAAAACTTTTATTTTATTTTACTACCTAACATATGCCCATTTTTTAAATTTTGCTACCACTGAACGGAATCCGTTTATAATTCCGTTACCACCTTCATTACCATCTTCCGGCCACCACTCCCTCCTTTGCCACCGTACAAGCCTCCCTGTCAGCCACCAAAATTAAATCAACCGCCCAAGAAACCAACCTTGCCCCCTCCCGTTAGCCACCCAGCTCCCTCCCCCGACCGGCGACCGGCGAATCCATCCCACCCCTTTTCCCCCACAAACGCAACCCAGTCCCCTCCCTTTTCCCCTGCTGCCCCGACCCTAACCACCACACCGAAAACACAATCAAAGATCCGAATCGCCGCAACCACCACCACTACCACTACCACCACTCTTCTGCAACACTTTGCTCCAAACCCTAACGAATCGACCCGCCTTAACCTTTTCGGCCACCCTAACCCCTAAACCACCACACCGCAACTTTTTTCAGCAAACTTAAATTGATTTCTAGACGAGGTTCGATGGATCTGCGATTTGCTCTGATTTCGGGAATTGATGTGGGTGGCAGCGATTGGTGGTTTGAGTATCGGTGGTTGGGAATTGATTTTGTGCGGGTTGAGTGAGGAGGTGGTTGCAGGGGTTGCGATTGTGGGCTGGTATTTGGAGAGGAGCTGCGCGTGGTGGCTAATTTGGTTGCGAGAACGGGGAAAGGGAAGGGGGTGGGTTCGATTGGCAGCGTAGGGGTGGGGGAAAGGGAGGGGGGTGGGTTCGCGCCGGCGCCGGCCGAATCTCTGGGCACCGGCCACCAGTAGGGGGGAGGGAAGGGGTGGCAGGGGTGGGTGGTTTTTTTTTTGTTTTTTTTTATTTTTTATTTATAATTATTTTTTTTTTAAAAAAAAACTTAACGGAATTATTAACGGATCCGTTAAGTGGTAGCAAAATTTTAAAAAAGGGCATATGTTAAGTAGTAAAATAAAATAAAAGTTTTGATGGGTAGCAATAGTGGATTCGACCTGTTTGACAGGTAGCAAAAGTCAAAATTTCCTTGTTTTCACGTTAGCAAGGTTACTAAAGTATAATCAATAACAGTAGGGATAGCCCCACCTAGAACAATATAAGGTATTTGACTTGGTTAAGCATAACATTTACCTCAACAAGACCAAGTTAAATATTTCTTTTGAAATGTTGAATTTCTCAGTTTCTACAAAATCAATCTAGAAATCACATATTACTAGAATTATCTAAAAAAAATCGAAACTATTCAACATTGCGAACGAATCTAAATTTATTCATAATTTTTTAGTTAGTTCGGGTGATTCTTTATATTTAAAAATGTTATTAGACTTTCTAACTCTATGTTAATATAGGCTTGAAGTTGAGAGAACTAGGTTAAAATTTTTAAGATTTCATCTCGATCAATTATCAGATTATGTACGTATGATGTTATTTGCATCATACATTTGAAATGTCGATAAAATTTTAATGCCAAATTATGTCGGTAAAATTTTGATGCCAAATTTCAACAAGGTAAATTACATGTTGCAAATTTAGTACAAAATTGTTTCTAGGTCTGTTTATTCCTTCCGTTTTCATCCTAAACTTAATTTGATCTTCAAAAGAAAAAAAGAAATAATTGAATCAATTAGGCCTCAATTGGTTTAATGTAATATATTTTCATGGAAAATGATTTTTTCATTTTGTTGTTTTTCATTTTCCTTTATTTGGTTTGTAAAGGGGTAGAAAATAGTTTTCCCAAAAGTGGAAAATTGCATCCTTATGGAAAACATTTTCCTTTACAAACAAGGAAAGCCACATTTTCCTCACTTCTCGTTGTTTCTATATTACTTTCATTTCAGCAACCCTCACAATCTCACTCCTATTTTTAACTTTCCAATAGGTAAAGGAGACTATATTGAGAAAGGGTGAACCAATAGTTGAGATTATCTTAAGTTAAATTATAATTGGGATTAAATAAGAAAGAAGTTAATAGCTGAGATAATCATTTTTCTATTCCTTTCGATTTCCTCTTTAATGTTAAAATCAAATAAATGGTTTGATAAAAGGCAAAGTTTAAATTTTTTAGTTGATCAAATACTAATTCATCTTTATATTTAATCATAATCATAGTCGCACGCTTTCTTACAAGCTATGCTAAAATAAACTATTATTTGTTCCTACTGATTAGTTAGGATTAGGGTTATTCAAGGTTTAGTTTGGTGTGGTTCCGATCCCAAATCATGCCAAACCTCAATTATAACCAAACCGCACCAAGCCACACTATAAAATATGATTTGGTGCAGTACAATTTATGATTTCACAATTAAAAAAAAAAAAACTTTTATTATACTTTGTAATCATAAATATATATATATATATATATATATATATATATATATATATATATATATATATATATATATATATATATATATATATATATATATATCAAAA